AAATGTTGATATATGCTAGTTGATGTATTGACATGATAATGAATTTTGGTGATTTTATACATGTGATATAATTTGTCATGACACATGTTGAGATGTGTGGTTTAATTTGGCTAATTGACATTCTTTAGATTTGAGCATGACATTGGTGTTGCAATGGTTCATTACATTGCATGTGTATGAAGGCATCACATTCAAGGGCTTAGGCATGAGTGTGGGTGTATGTCGGGCATGGTTTATTCAAACATCATAATTGGTGGTTGATTGGTGGGCTCAGAAAAGTGGGATAGAACATCCTACTGAGTCACACGGTTACATGCATGAAAACTTGTGTCGGGTATAGCAAGAAAGGATAAATCCCCCCTCGGGTGCAAGGCCCCACTATTGGTTTATACACTTTCGACGATGCAAATCCAAAAAAAATGTATCGGTGTGTGGAGCCGGCGGTGCAACACCAAAGTCCACTATCCAAATAAAGACACATGGTTTTTGGTTATATAAAGGATTCATTTGATATAAAATATCCAGAAATGAATTGATTTTTTTATGAACGCATGAGTTTTGTTTCAAAATGATCTTTAGATATATGCCATCAAGGATAAATGTTTTACACTTGCATTGCATAGTGTGGTGAGAGTCGGTGAAGACTTGGGTTGAGGTGCGTGAGTGAATCTCATTTCATTCATGGCATGACATGGTAGATTCCAACATGAATCATGTATATTCTTGATTGGAATGATTATATGATTGTGAATGTTGTATATGAACATTGCATATGCACTTAGGTTGGGGAGTAGCATCTGTAGGAAATATTCTACTGGGCGTTGGCTCACCCTAAACGGGAAACATTTCAGGTTTGGGGTTCGTACCGAGAGAGGACTCACATTCGGGGCCTCAACGATGAAGAAAAGCCGACTTGTGACTTTGGTGGCATATTTTGTGTAATTTTTGTGGGAACAATGTTTTAACATGTAAAAATTATGCAAATACTTGTAATAGAACTTGTATGGATCATGTGTAATGTAGAAAATGTCATTATGCATGTTTGAGATGGATTTGGAAAGGTTTTGAGTGGATTGAAAATGAAAAACTAAAGATGCATAAAATTCTGGGCAAAACCTTCCGGAAGGTCACAACAACCTTCCAAAAGGTTAATGCAAACTTTTGGTCTAGTAGACAAAACTTTCCGGAAGGTTCATGAAAACCCTTCTGGAAGGTACATGTAAATTGGTATCCAATGGGCAAACATTTCGAAAGATAAGTAATACCTTCCGGTAGAAATAAGTCCAGAAGGTAAAACCTACCAGAAGATCTATAAAACCTTCCGGTAGAAATTTTCCAGTGAGCAAACCTTCTGAAAGGTCCATAACAAAACCTTCCGAAGGGTTATTCAAAAATCTGAAACTTTAAGAATGCATTGTCATGCTTTTGGGTTATGTGTTCTTTAGTTCCAATAACACAAATGGACCTCAAATGAGATACATTGTGATATGTGGAACCTCGATGAGATTAAATGAATTAAAGAAAACATGGATCCTCGTGTAGGTCGTAAACCCGATTACAGGGATGTGATAAACGTGATGTCGGGTTATATGACAATCATGGGTATTTTCGCAGGTTGACGGGAGGTTAACGGGACCCCCGGTTATTGGGGCATCACAAATTTTCTATGATTTAATTACCACAATGAACATGAGCAAAGTCATGTAACATTGAAATTTACAATGACTATATACAAAAGTTGAATGAGCCATGTAAGATTTAGCAAGGTGAAGATTTTCCAAGAGCAAATTCCAATTTCTTAGAAGATTTGTTGTTAATGCTAGAAGCTCCAAGTGAGAAAAAAGCATTAATATAACATTAGATATATTGTGATAGATAAGAAGAAAGTTTTACAAGGTATTAAATAGGCATAACCCTTTTTTTGCGAGTCAATTCATTGGGTTTTGTAAGATATGTTTGTACATGGACCTCCACTTTGGGGAATGCCTCCTCTTGGTGACCTGTTTTTGACATAAACATGAATTTATTTTTGTTGGTGAAACAAAGATAACAAAAAACTAATTATGATAGACATAAATCAATTAAATACCCTAACTCCAATTCTTTAACATTTTGAAAAAGAGAGCAGAATTTTTATGCAATGTTTGTTGTGGGATAATTTTCTTAAAGGTGTATTTTGCAAGATGCGTCTTATCCTTTTCACTTCAAATAAAGTTTATCTCCTCGACCATTGGCATTGTCTCTTGATAGTGGTTGGTGGGCCACAATTTTGAAAATGTTCAAATCACCTATCGATTTATGCTTTGGTTCTTTGATGCTTTGTCCCTTAAAGGTTAGCTCGTAGTTCATATGCATTTTAGGCCCCGTCATTCACAACCAACAAAGTAGTATTTGAATTTTCACATGATGAATACAAAAAGATAAGTAAATCCACAATGAGTAACATGATAGGCATGGAAGGTTAATCGAGCAAACATAAATGCACATACACAGACACTCAATCAAATAGGCACAAGATATTTTCCATTGACTATGAAAGAAGCATATACATTCATTTCTTCGCCATTCTTGTACTTGTATTAAACTCTTTTGAAAATACCATTTTCCTCTAGGGAAGATGTTACTGGTCCTTGTTCAAGTTGTAAACTAAACAAGAAATCAAGAAAGGTAAATGAATAAAAATTTAAAACTTCATAGACATCTCCATGAAATAATAATGTTGTGGATGGTTCCTATTTGCACTCAGAAGTCTTTTATTGGAACAAATCGCCTTATCAACAAGGATCTTTCCAACACCTTGGTACAGATTGTCAAAGAAATAGTCTAAACTATTATAGTTTTGCATAAAACTGTTATCACTATGTAAATATAGTTATTCTAGACACAAATAATACTTGCAGTGCAACAACGTACATCAATTCCTCAATACCAATTACTCCTTTTCAAACCAACAACACATGGTAAAAATTTTCAACTATAGTTCAAACTTTGTAAAACCTAAAATCTTAAATTTTAATCTCTTAAATTTTAATAGAGATAGCTAAGTATAATATTTAATCAATCAACAATTGTTGGGTTTGATGCTTGCTTACTACCATGAATAGTAGTTATAGTAAATATCATGGACAAAAGGCAGCTAGCTTTCAGACTATTCAACTAACTATGTGGTTTGATTAGGCAACCTCTTTTATACCATGGAAATACATTTGTTACACTGTACAATTAAATTATATTGAAATAGAATGTTTAAATGAAGAAGATACAAATAGATTCAAACTCTATTTTCATTGAAAATTAGAATAAACTTCATTAATGTATGACTACAACTAAGAGACTCAATCAATCTCTTGCTACTTTCCAATAGAATCCATTAAAATACATACACAAAACAACACTTTCATCATAATATTCCTTGTTTCAACTCTCCCCGAATAAACATATCTATTCATGCACATTGGGCTCATGCAAGAGAGGGAACGATGAAAGATTCACATACATATAAGGCGTAAGCAAGCCGAAATCTAAGAAAATAACAAAAATGACCTAAAAATCATCTCAATGTTCTTCTTTTGACTATCCTTTCAAACTTTGTCTCTAATTAATTGCAACGCACTCTTAATCCCTTCAACATAGCTGCAATTGCACATAATCCCCATCAAATTCAAACCACATATTTAAAACAACCACAAAAAACGGTTAATTTCATGTAGCTAAGGGGAAAAAAGATCGAAAAAACTCGCTTGGATAGAAGTGAATCAAAATCATCTTCAACGAACCAATTAGATTTTTGGTATCTAGCTCTTAGAAGAGCAAAAGGTGAAATTAGAATAGATGACAAATTTTTTGATATTATGAGCAAGGGTTTCTGGAGCTCTTAGAAGAGGATAGTCGAGGATTTTCCAAGGTTGGTGTTGCTTCTGGCGATAAGAATGTTCCTTCTGAATATTCTATTGTTGTGATAAAAAAATGGGACTTTCAAAGCGAACAGAGGAAAGAGATTGCAGAAGAAGAATAAGGGTGATTGGGGACAAAGAAGACGATATCATGATGGAGGAGAAAGAGACGTCCGTTAGGATATTTCAAAGGCGTTGAGGCTAATTAACAAAATTTTAATGAAATATTGAAGGGAGATTAAATTTTACTAACATAAATAAATGGTATAGGTAAATAAATAAATATGGAAGTGGAAGGGCCGTTTACATATTTAATTAATATTAGATAATTAAACATATAAGGATATGAGTGTCTTTTATTTTTTTTATAAGGATATAACAATCAATTAAATATTTTTCATGACATTTTAAAATAATATAAATTAGTCAATTCTTTCGCAATCAATACTCTATTATTATAAAGAAGCTCTTCCATAAGAAGTTCTTCCATCATTACATCGGGCAGAGGCAGCGGGCAGCCCCAAAAGTGGCACACCAATCAAAGAGAGAGCCTTGTCTGTCTCTCTGCTCGCAAATATCTAATTAAAAATTTAATTTAATATTAAAAAATAATTCTTAAATTTATAATATAAATATTCCCTTCAAAATCACATTCAATTTTCCCATCCCAAAATCCGTTCCCGAAATCCATCGCATACGGATGACCTAGTTAAATCATGAGTAATGCTGTAAAATTTAAATAAAATTAAAAAATTATAATTTAAATACATTTCGTTCATGACTAGAATTCATTTAGAAATCATGACATAATTGACATTAATCCATCCCTCTTTTTTCCATTGGGCAGACACAAGATTCTCTCTCTAACCTTCTCTGAATCTGCCTATTTCCCTCCGTTCCCGAAGGTCTCGAATCTCTTGGAATCTCTATTGTTCCTTTGGGACCGCAGGCAGCTTCATAATTTTTTTCTTAGATTTTGTTACATGAATCAAATATAAAAACACAAGGCTTTCTATCTATATACGGTTGCGCATATATAGTAAAAAGTAAAAACATAAGAATCAAGGAGAAGTTCTGATACCCATTTGGGAAATTCTTTGATATTTCATGGGTTTTCATTCTGATTCGCAAAAGAATGGTTATGGTGTAGGAGGAAATTGTGTTGTGGGGTTTAAAAGTTTGATAAGAAGAAAACAGGTTGATTCAATTCATGCAAAGTCGTCTGGTGTTCTTGGTGGTCATCTTCAATTAGCCAAGGAGTTATCTGTTCCTCACCTGATTGCTATAGGTAAAATATCTGAATTCATTACTTTTTGACCTGGATTTTGTGCGTCCTTATGTTTTGCTTGATAATTGAGGGGGTTTCTGTTCATGACTTCGAGTTCTTTGTGTTTCATTTTGTGATTATATAATAACAGCTTGGTATTGCTCTTCTATCTCCTTGTATGAGTCTAAATTATACCCTTATTCGTTTTTTTCTTCAATTTTTTGGGTGAAGTGTTCATGTTTTTGGTATGTTATCTCTTCGAAGCTTTTGGTTTAGTCTGTCTCGTTGTTGTAATGGTATTCAACGCGTATACATCCTTTTGACTTTTACTTATAGTCTTGGTTGACATAAGTACTTCTGGATGCTGATAAATTTATCCTGGTTATGATTGTGGTGACTGGTGCATATGCATGATTAAATTGAATGATTCTGGTTGCTTTCAACCTGGTTTTAGTTTGTAGTTACTCTGCAGTTACTTTATTGATGATTGAATTTATCAGGTGTTGGTTCAACAATCGGCGCTGGGGTATATATTCTTGTTGGTACAGTTGCAAGAGAGCATTCTGGTCCAGCCCTCATCTTTTCCTTTCTAATAGCTGGGATAGCAGCTGCCCTTTCTGCCTTCTGCTATGCCGAGCTTGCAAGTCGTTGCCCATCTGCTGGGAGTGCCTATCATTATTCGTACATATGTGTTGGAGAAGGGTATCACCTATGGTCTACTTTAGCTATTGTGTTTAATTTCTTAGTGAAGTATATGTATATCTTTCATATGACAGTGTGCCCCTTTTTCTATGAGGTGATACCAATCAGCAATGTTTTCCCGTGTCTACTTTAGCTATTGCCTTCTTGTGTTCGGTGCTGAAGACATTATAGCACTAACTTACTTTTTCTCTCTACATGTTGTGGATACTTTTTCAGTTTGCGAGTTTACCTCTCTAATTTCTTGCAGTGTTGCTTGGTTGGTTGGTTGGGCTCTGATATTGGAATATACAATTGGTGGTTCTGCAGTTGCTCGTGGCATATCTCCAAATCTGGTGCAAAGCAATCCCTCAAAGTTTGGCTTTTATTGCATTCTGCTTTTGTTGTCTCTGTAACTAAGCTGGAATTGGTTGCCCTCTGCCTGTTATCTCTAAGTTTATGTAGTCACTGTTCTTTTGGAGTCTCTTTGTTGAGTTAATTTGATTTATTCATTCACTGGCATGTCATTTTCTTATAGTCATAAATGATTTGTATTGATCTGTTCACTTGATGGCATGTTTTTGGCTGATTGCTTCTTTATATATGCAATTTATAGTGAGTCAAAGGGAATTTCCTTATTATGACAGTTTTTGTGCCAAACAATAGAAGCTGGAATGTGATCAATTTGACGAAGATGATTGATAGCTATAGGTTGCCATAATTGCATGAGAAATGATTGAACCACTATGAAAGTGAATAGATAAAGCAATGCTATTCTTCTGTAATCTTGTTATTTTGGATCTTGATTTATGAAGGCAGACTGTATGTGTGTGCGCGTGTGTAATGAAAGAAGACTTGTAGGATGAACGTTTATACGCTGTGTCCAATTTTCTTTAATGTTTGAAAATCCAACTTTGGTGACAATACGACCTTCTGAAACTTTTTCTCTTCTGCCGTGAAGAAAAAGTGGCAGAAAATTGTTCTTGCTTGGGGTTTTCCTGTTACACTTTTCTCTTTCTGCTTGAGCCTTTGAGGGCGGTTTTTGTCCAAACAATGCTTGAGACAATGGAAAAGTATTTGATTTGCTCTATGTTTCTTGGCAAATAGTTGTGCGTGCTGATTTTAATGTATGGCAGAAAGTATTTGGTTCTCATGCTTCAGTAGTGAACATTTTGTTTATCTTCTTTGCCTAGGCCTTACTTTTCGGGGGTGCAGATAGTCTGCCAGCTTTTCTAGCCCGTCACTATATTCCCGGGCTTAATGTTGTGGTTGACCCATGTGCAGCAGTCTTAGTTTTTGTTGTCACTGGACTCTTGTGTGTGGGAATCAAAGAGGTAGTTTTGTTAAATCTTCTCTTTGTTTCTCCTGCAATTTATTTTAGTACAAATCTTTTGCCCATCTAAAGTTTATGCTGTTTACCTTTCCTTCCAAACCAAATGCAATTTTTGTAGAGCACACTTGCGCAAGGAATAACCACGGCAGCAAATATATGTGCCATGATTTTTGTCATTGTAGCTGGTGGATATCTAGGTTTTAAAACTGGATGGCCTGGCTATGAACTTCCTACTGGGTAACGGGTGCTCATTATCGCATATTTGCTCCTATATCGTTATGTTTTGATGTCAGTGTACTTCATCTTTTTGATTTTGATTGATAGGTATTTTCCATTTGGGGTAGACGGGATGCTTGCGGGGGCTTCAACAGTCTTCTTTGCATACATTGGTTTTGATTCAGTTGCTAGTACTGCAGAGGAGGTGTATATTAATATCCATAGCATTTTCAGTTCATTTGAAATGTAACTTGAAGGATTTTTGAATGTTTGCTCTATTCCGGCAGGTGAAGAATCCTCAACGAGATTTGCCTCTAGGTATTGGATCTGCATTGTCTATATGTTGCACGTTATATATGCTGGTCTCTGCAGTCATTGTTGGTCTAGTACCCTATTATGCGCTGGATCCTGACACCCCCATCTCCTCTGCTTTTGCTAGCCATGGAGTTCAGTGGGCAGCGTAAGAAAATGTTTTGTATTAGTTCATTCTTTTGTTTTCTCAGTTATTGGGTATTTGAGTTTACATCTATAGATTTGTTCTTCAAATCTATTTCCCATGCTTTTTTGTTGCAGGTACATAATAACTATCGGAGCTATTACTGCTCTTTGCTCGACATTGATGGGTTCACTCCTACCTCAGGTAAAAACCATGAATAGTTATGGTTTTACCTTTTGACTGACTTCCAAATTTACTGTGTATGCTGCATAATTTCGATGATGTTAGATGATGTCAACTGCCGCTGTTGCCATCGCTTAGTCCAAGGGTGTACATATTTATATCCATCCCCAATGTGCTTCAACTCAGTTGTTCAGCAAAGTTGCTCTGTAGAACGTTCAAAGCTGCCTTATTAAATGATTTTTCTTCGTGTCTTGCTACTATGGCTAAAATATATGCCAGCATATCAGGTGGAGACATATACCATGCAGATCAAAATACCAATCCGTATGTCCATATCCTGTCAACTGAAGTATGAACCTTTTAGTATCTTAACCTCACCCTGTTGCGTGATGCATTAGTTAGTCTGTTGTGATATATTCTTTTTTCTTTTCATTGGCTGTTTCTACTATCATTCTTTGAAAATTATTCAGGCTGGGAATAATTTTACTGCCCTTTATGAAACTTTAAACAATTGCTAGATCTTTGGAAGAGAGTCACAACTACATTCTAGTAAAGTAGCATTGAATGTGAATTTTGTTCAATATGATAGCTCTTTCCGCATCATATTTATAACCCCACTTGTACTATGTATCAGCATTTTGTCTCTAATGTGGTCAGTCACCATTCACCTTTCAATGAAATAAAAGTTTTGTTTCCTATCGAAACAAAAAAAAAAAAAAAAACAAAGAATGTGGTTAGTCACCATCCTTGACGATGGGGACACCCATGATCACTGGACAATGAGTGGAAATGTTTATACACGTTGCTGTGGACAATAGGGTTTTAAATTTTTCTTCATCTCATGCTTGTGCTTCGTTAAAGTTGCATCATGCTGACCTTTGCGTGCAACATGGGAAGACCAAGTAACAAATAAGATATTTTCCATGTGGCATGTTGCATCATTTCTTGGATGCTATTAGATTTATGTAAGGATGGAACTCCACTTAAGTAATCATTTGTAGAAGATAATCAAACCAAGTTGCTAGAAGATGTCTCTGAGGAATACTGTTAAGTACAGAGTTCGAGTTTTGGAACATTGGTTAAGGTGAAATAGAGTATGATAATTTTAAACAAAAAATGAATGATTACCTTGTCGGCGTTAAGAGTATAGTTTAAGAAAAATCTTAAAAGGATTTTTACCTACAATCGCACATTAGCACCGCGACCACCTCCTTGCCTATGTGTGGGACGTTCATTCAACTTCCAACAAAGCTCCTTGGCAAGGATCAAAATTTTGTTTCGGTGTATTGTTTCGGTTACCTAGAAAATAGAAACGTTTCGATGTGTTTCGAAAATGTTTTAACTTGTTTTGGAAAACATAATGAAAAAAATAAAAAATTTAAGAATTATTTTTCTAAAACATTGATTTAAATATATCAAAGCATCTTGAATTACCTTGAAACATTCCGAAACAATTGTGTAAATGCATTGAAATATTATAATACATTTTGAAACATTATTAAATACTTCAAAATATTAAAATTTCGATTCCATCACTAATTCGTTTCGGTCTTCTTGAAAACGGAAACGTTTCGACCGTTTCGAAACGATATTTTGATCCTTGCTCCCTGGTGTATCTAATCTTTCCACAATAATCACACTTAAATGTGTCTTTGTCAACCGTGCCAATCTTGTTAGTGGATCTAGGTTGGGCTAGTTTGAGGTCGTTGACTTCATCCGAAATGTGTACACCCAAGTGTAGGCGGTCAAGTTGTAGTAATAATCTGGTTAAGTCTGGAGTCGAATCCACAGGGAGCTATTATTGGTGTTTTGAAGTAAGCAGTGACAGAGACCAAGTGACTAGAATCCTTGAGATTTGAAGTAATGAGATTTCCTGGATAGAACATAAGATTCTTTCCAAGAGGTTTTTCTAGACAATATATAATAAGTTATCAAATGTAACAGTCACCCTTTAACTCGAGAATTTGGACATGTAATTAATCTGATTTATTATACTTGTGCTTGGGAACTAAATTAGCCCTTGCGTCAACATTAAGTTAATCGGAAGATAAAGATGGATTGTGAGAATTAAGAGCATAGTTCTGCTGTTTTTGTAGAGGTTTACAAGAATTGTATGTGCCGAGACTCAACCCGTTTACAAACAAGCAAGTGTTTTTACAAGACATTCAACCATTGCATTAGTATTCCATTTTTGAATGAAACATAATAATGGTGAAGATTAAAATGTAGTCATGAAGATCTAGCCGGGATACTTGTCTAGAATCAATGATTCTTTCTATGTCATAATAAGTACTCACAGTTGTACAAAGTACTTTAATTTTACTAGATGCATTCAATCATTTAATAAGCAAGTGAAATATAAAGTATTAAGCGTAAACGAAATGCACAAATATAATTTCTGGATGATTTATACATGTCCATCACCTCTTACTAAAGAGTGAATGAGAAACTACTCATTGTTCATGCCTTTGGTAAAGTTAGAAAAGTGAGTGATGTTCATTCCTCCAAGTAAAGGAATTATAAGGTAAAACACACTACACAAGGAGTCAATCTTCGACGAAGAATGAGTGAATCACGTTCCACCCTTCACGGCTTTGGTAAAACTCTAAAAAAGTGGAAGAGTTTTACTCTTCTAAGAGAAGAAGGAAGCTTAAACAATGGAATCAAATGAAATTAATAATGAAAGTAGAACAGAGTTAGTCACTTTTAGAGGGTTTCCTCTCAACCAAAAGATGATCTATCTCCTTCTATCTCTCTCTATGTAAGATTATGAATGTAAGTCGAAGTCTAAGCCTAACTCTACAATCTACCCTTTTTTGAAGTTCCCACAATGGGAGTATTTATAGGTAAGGAGGGGGGCAACGGAGTGTGAGAGAATAGTACAAGGTCTTCAAAGTCCAAGTGAAAGCCCCAATGTCTGGATGGAAAATCAACCACTCTGCAACCTGTCTGGAGACAACGTTCGAACTTTGTCTCCAGTTTTCTTTGATGGGCGTTCGAACGCCGGATGGAGTTTGAACTTCCCACTTAAGTGGCCTTTGTTCTTCTGTGAGAGCAACTTCCACACGCCATATGCCATAGCACACTCTTCCAGGGGGTCCTCAATTGATTCAAGCCAACGTTCGAATGTTAGTTGGCGTTCGAACGTGGTACTCAAGTACCTTTTTGTTTTTCTTTTTAGCTGCAACACGTTATGCATCATTATCTCAGTAGTCTAGTCCTCCAATAATTCAAGAGAACGTTCGAACATGTATTGGCGTTCGAACGTTTATGCCTTGTTTCAAACTTCTCCAATTTTCTTCCAGAACATGCGGTTGTTGCATGAAAATTTGATATGCATTGACTTTAGGTCCTTGTACAATTTTTCTCTTGAAACGTCATTATTGAAATTCTATCAAAGTATAATTAGTCTTAAAAAGGCATAGTGAGATGCTAATTTTAACTACTAATCAATCACACTAAAGGAATAACTGCCAAAACATACTGTTCCTGAGTGATAGTATGAACCATAGCAATTTTTCTGTTTTCCACTTGCTGAACATGAGCATAAGCCTCTCGTAACGTAGGAAATGGTTTCGACCTAAAATCTAAGCCCAAATTTGATCATATTTAATATTAAGGCCATCAAGAAAATCATAGACCCGTTCTTTCTCAAGCATCAGTTGAAATTTGGCTACATCATTTCCGCAATCTGCCTAAAACTCTGGTAATAATCAAGCTCCTGCCATAAAGTAGTCATTTCTGCATAGTAAATTGTAAAGGGTTTATCCTTCTGAATAGTCTGCCGAACTTTCTTTCGAAGGTCATATGCCTTGCCATCGTTACTCCTTTGAGAATACCTATGAAATATAGCAGTCCAAATTTTATGAGCAGTATCAAGTAATAGAAATCCGTGACTGATGGAGGATTTCATGAAACTAAGCAATCAAGAAATAACCAAAGCATTCTTAGATGTCCATTATTTCAAGGTAGAACCAGTCTCACTAGGCTTCTTAGTCTCTTCTATCAAATACCTATCTAGAGAGATAGTTTGAATCAATAACAAGCAAGCCCGTGACCATGCCAAATAGTTGCTCCCGTTCAACTTTTCTACATTAATTTGGAGAGATGGATTGTTCGTAACAGCTCCTAGACGACTCACCCCGTTGTTTCCAGTATTGGTAGTAGCCCTAGAACTTACGCTGGTTTTCGACATCTCCATACAATAGAGTAAAATCAAAACAATAAAATCTAGCCTAGGAATTGGACAACAATCCATAAATATTGTAAAAAAATAGCCAAACAGCTTGGAGAAGAAAACCAGACCTGAAGAACCTTGTCTCAAGGCAAAAAACAAGTAGCTGAGACTCAAATCTACCCCAAAATTGATCCACATGCAAGAAAAATCCATTGGTAATGTAGACCTACCCAAATCGCACCTTACAGAGTGAGATCCAACCAAAAACAGCAGTGGAAATCATCCAAAATCATAAATCGTAGTTCAAATCTCTAATAGGGCCAAAAATCTTCAAAAATTCGAAAACCCAATTAGATGGCTTCAAAAAAATTTGAAAAAATCACGTGAATTTCGAAAAATTCTAACCAAGTGTGATGCTGATGTCAACATGTCGGTCACTAACGTTAGCATGTCAGAATTTTTCTACCGGTCACTGTGATAATTTGTGACAATTTTCGGCGATGTTCAACAACTTTAGGGCTTTAGATCTAAATCATGCTTTGATACTGAGTCAGATGATGAAGTTTTAGGGTTTATAGAAGCGGAAGAAGAAAGAATATAATGAGAGTAATCAGATTATTATGTAGGGTTGTTTGTTAATTACACAACTAATCCCTAGCTTGTATATA